CGCAGAAGCGTGGGTTTTAAAGTTGTCTATTGTGTTATGCAAAAAATGTGATTGGTGCATTTCGATCCTTTTGTCAGTAACGCAGAAGCGTGGGTTTTAAAGTTGTCTATTGTGTTATGCAAAAAATGTGATTGGTGCATTTCGATCCTTTTGTCAACGATATAACCTTTAAAAAGATCAATTTGTGAAAAGATGTTCATATCAATTTGTATTGAGCTATAAAGCGACATATCACGAGAATTTTCAAAAACTGTTATCTTCACGTCATGGATGCAAACATTACTAATTGTATCAAGTGTCAAGGGGTCGTGTCCAATGATCATCAAGCAATTTCATGTACTATATGTGGACATTTGCAGCATCGCTCCTGCACGTACGGAAACGACATTTCATTAGCTGAGTACAGGGAAATGATAACTTCTGGATTTGAAAACAACTGGAAATGCGATGACTGTCTCARCAACACGGCGGGAGAGGTACGTAAAACCGGTACATAAATAGCTTACACAGGTGTATTATGTTTATGATGAACATGTTCATGTGTTTCTTTTAAAGAATGATTKATCTACTTTTAGAATGGAGCAATATTATTAAGTCATGTATCATGTAACAATGTATCATGTCATGCTTTTGGTTTATTTATACGTTTGTATTATTACTTAGATTCCAACTCCTGTATGTGATGTCGAGCCTCTTGTAGAAGACGAGATCCCTATAAGAGAAGTCCCTTGTGCTCCTCCCTCCTACCAGATCATCAAAGAATCGACCAAAAGAAAGCGTGAGCTGCTAGTAGACCCTGATGGCTACCGCTACGGGAAGAAACCACGCAATCTCAAGACGACCGTCCACTGGCAGTGTACAGTACGTCCTAAAGGAAATCCATGTKGTGCTACCGTTATTCAAAATCTACAGTCAGGTAATTATTATTTTTTCTGTTACAAGTCAACTTACAGTGTTCGTCTTATAATTGAATTGAACTATAGAATTGTTCATAGGATCGTTGTGTCGTTGTGAAAGTTTTACAACAACTTTTACCAGTCAATGGCCTTTCAAACAATGAAATAAAAAATATAGCTATTATAGCTCATGAATCCATTCATTTCACTTTTTCAACAGGTATATTCAAACGGACGGGGAAAGATCACAACCACGCAGCTGCTCCTGGTGCTGCGCTCGTTGCAACAATTACAAGGACAATTAAAGAAGAGGCTATGAGTAATGTGTTCAAATCAGCTTCAGCAATTATTGACCAGGTAAATTTCTCTGGTTTATTTTCAAAAAAAACTTTAGTAATTGTTTATCGTTATCGTTATCATTAGCATTATTATTATTACTATTATTATTTTATTATCATTGACCATTATTGTTGTTGGTTACTTTATTGCTTATTTGTTTTTCTTCTCTCTTTTACAGGTGTATGCTGAACAAGTCGGTGATGCCCCACTCCCAAATCTGCCAAAACCACAGAATCTAGCCCGTGCAGCCAATCGTTTGAGGCAGAAGCTTCGACCTGAAGACCCCACCAACTTAGAGTTCGTATTACAGGAAGAGCACATTCCTGCGAACTTCCTTCGATCCGATCTTGAAGTAAATGGAAGACGCCACCTAGTGTTTGCCACAGAAAAACAGCTCCACTTCCTTGGTAAGGCCAAAAGTTGGTACAGTGATGGCACCTTTAAACTTGTGCGGCACCCGTTCAACCAACTCTGGACCATTAATGCCTTTGTTGGTGAGGGGGAACACATCAAGCAAGTACCTCTCGTATTTGTTATTATGTCTGGCCGAAAGAAACGAGATTATAAAAAGGTATGTAATACAATTTTTTGAAAAGAGCTAATTTTAGCGACTTATATTATAATAAAAGCGAAATTACGACAAGCAACTAAGTCATATCGTTCTATAACATCAAAATTACTAAGTTGTTTCTCGTAAATCTCGTACATGTTTACTCACCATAACAGTAAAACTTATTATGGTTTGTTTTATATTTTATTAGGTGCTGAAAGCTATTCTAAATTTACTACCAGAATCGCCGATTGTGAAAAATGTTGTCCTCGACTTTGAAAAGGCTGCGTGGTCAGCTCTACGAAGCGTACTTCCTTCAGTCACGTTATCCGGCTGTTCATTTCATTGGACCCAGGCAATTTGGAGGAAGGTCCAGGAACTTGGTTTAGCAACTCAGTACCAAAACGACAACGGCACGTACCAGTACATCGGAAAACTGATGGCCTTACCATATCTTCCATCCGACCAAATACCCGCGCAGTTTACACTCCTCGAAGTTGTTTCGTTGAGGTCGTGGCAACGTTTGGACCCAACCTGTTTATATATAAAAAACGAACAAAATATTTGCCCTGACACGATTTGATGGTATTCAGCATGTCCGGTGATCACAGATTTCTCATTTGGTAGAGGCTTAATACTAACTCCATTTTCCGGCGAGTTCAAAGCGAATAGCCGCTGATTTACTTGACAACAGATTCTCTTGCGCAAAAGCCAGACCCACGAGAAAATGTCGTTATTACAATAGCCTTGAAAATATATCTCTTATTTAAGCCTTTTTGGGGATACARGGCTAGCCTCAAGTCGGAGAAAATGTAAATTGTTAGGGCTGTTGTATTTACAACATTTTCTCGTAGTCTCTTTTGTTTCTGGTAAGGTTTTTGCTCAAGAGAATCTGTTGTCATATGAAACAGCGGTTATCCGCTTTGAATTTAAAAATGGAGTATTGACAATAGTGAACCTATGATCTTTTGTTTAAAATATACCTTATAAATAGCTAAAACTTTACTCTTTACTAAACATTTATGTCCTACGTATAGAGATATTGTCATATTCGATCTTATTGTGATAAAAACCGAAAACACGACCGCATTGAATGCTAGTTAACCATAACACTAAAAATTACTTGAAATCTCACAGACCTCTGTTAGTTCTTCGAGACCTTTAATCTGAAGCCTCCAGCCTTCATCCTCACACAAATGAAAGTGAAATTTATTAAACTTATAAGTAGCCAACATATCAAGAAATTGAAGAACTTTGTCTTTCGTCTTGAAGTTGCGACCAACGTCCAGGTGCATTCCTCTATAGGCGTATCTAGGGGCATCTTTGACTGTCACCTTGGGAACTGTTCCTATGGAAACATTAACAGGACACATTTGAATCAGTCAGATATGCTGCTTTCTTTTGTGTTTAATAAGGTGTTTGTGTAAGAGAATCGGCTGTCAACAAAAACAGTGGTTATTCGCTTTGAATTCGAAAATGGAGTATTATGCATCGTAACCGGTATTATAACATAAGCAATCACTAAAGAATTCTTAATAATCTTAACTAATATAAGGCTGTCTGTCTTACGTCTAAGCTTTATATGGACGTACCTTTATCATCAATGATTGCCAATAAAGATTGAATACCATAAAACACCGCAGCCGTGGTATTGCCATGAATCGTTATCGTCTGACCAGACACATCAACGACAAGGCTATAAGCCTCCTGATTGGTTGTTTTAGAACCACCTATTATGACGTCAGGGTCCTTGAGTTCCATTTTGATAACTTTAGTCAGTGGTGGTGATGAGGTCACGGTCGTTGCTCGGATTTTTACTGGAAAGATTGGGAATGATATAAAAAAACAATTGAGATTTAAAACCAGTGATGTGTCACCATTTGCTCAAAAATTCAAAAAAACGTTATTTAGCTCCAATATTTTAACCCCAGTCCGTCTCTTGTATTCTATGTAATATATAAAATATGAACGGGAGACCTTTATGGGTATTTATAACTGCGAGCTGCAAGCGAGCAGTTTCTAAGGGCCATAAAGGTCGGACGCGAATATTTTATATTGTTTATCAAATTCCAGCATAAGCTAAAGSATAGTTTGCAAAAGACTGCAAGATAAAATATCATTTTTAAGAGAAAATCGAGGTTAAAGTCGTATGCAAATCAGGACAAATCTCTTGCTCATATAAAGATGCGGTCACGGCAATGATTTTCCATTGTTTTTACCTTATGAATTATTAATGAATTTGATAAAGGACGGAATATTAGATTCGAATCATCATAGAAACTCTAAAAACCGATATCACTTTGGACCCTCTTTCATTCCCACAAATTTGTAGCTTAAGTGTGCTTACAAGTTAGTGATCGTGGTATATTTCGTACACTATTATAATATACAATAATTCAATTAATCGCTGATACCTGCTAGGAATGAAGCTTCGTTTTCAAGGCCTTTGTCAGCGGTTATCTTCCATTTATCGTTGCTAACTTTCATTCTATTCCCTTTTTCCCATCCACTTATTTTCAAAGGAGTTGGAATCAACAACAAAGGAGCCTTTCCCAAATCACTAGCCTCAATTCTATCAAACCGTTCCCCAGGGGAGAGGGGATGGTAGTTATCACCAGTATAGCGCCTCCATTGATGCTCTGTTGTAAATTCCCCWACAAAGTCTAACCCCTCCCCCTGTGTGTTTTTAACGGCTTTGGACACCAGTCCYTCGGCGCCGAAATACCAGTTTGGCATGATGTCAGTCTTGGCAACAGCGAAATATTTGACTTTGAATTCTATCTTCACGGAGGAGTCTGGAGCCAAGTCTTTGAAGTCAGTTGTTGGTTCCATCTTATGAAGGCATCCATTGATATGAGTTAATTTGATCCCAGGTCCTCCCGGGATTATATAACCGTGGGGATTGTTGGGAAGATGATCTGGCTCCACKATTCGAATACTGCAAAAGTATAGAGCCCATGGTCCTTGCTTTAATGAGCGGGAGCCTTTGTTTTGAAGAGTAACGCGTGCTTTGTATTTCAACCAGCTGTCAATCAAATTATCGACTACGTCATAGCGTACTTGAATATTTGACGCCATGTCATTGATGTCATCCTGAACCAACGTGTGAACTGTGTCTAAAGGAATGAATCAATTCAGTAATCCGATCTAAACGATCGGTCGTTGTTCAGAAGTTAGTAAATGGAAAGTAAATGTGGGGGAGGGGTCGGGTGAGGTTGTCGAGATTGTATATATAGGGCGTGCAAAATGAAATGACTCTTCAACACATCCATATTTAATGTTTACATAATCCCCCACTCCGCCAACCACTTCAATTAATTACGCCGCATTGAGCTTTAGGGGAATCATCCCTGATAATCAATCGTTTATGCTGGCCTTGTCATAGACAATTGAGCAAATAATTTGTAGTGGAGCCTGATATTGCTCTCTCGGACTTAAATGTTTGGATATGAATATTATATGAGGACCGCATGGCACTATGAGATACATGAAATAGAAATAAAGGAAAGCTATGCTGCTTAGAAGGGGGTTATTCCGAGATTTTGAGGTAGATTTGAGCTAAACAACAGTGTAACTTGATTCCTCCCGAAAGTGCTCTTTTATCTATTTTCAAGGCTCTATACTAATGGTATCAGACCTGTAGGGTATATCTTACATTTTTGTGTTTTCTTTCGTGTCTGAATCTTCTGGTATGAATTTCAACTTTTAGACAAATCAAACCTGTTCTAAAACATATTTTCTTTTGTATCTRTTTGGGATCTACTAGCTAAATTTACTGCACTTCTAGAGTACGTTAGAATTATTTACTCCATTAATGTCTACTAGAGTTTTAAGTTTCCATTGATGAGTCAACATCAAAAATAAGCTAAATCGTTTCGTTTTCTTAGCGTCTTTGTATAGTTTTTCCATCCCCTTTGTAGCAGGACAAAGTTCTGGCATTATTTCCTGACTAACCTGCAAAGCTGCATAACATCAAAAGCACGGTTGCAATTCGTGCAGAGGACATCTTCAACAGAGGTATCATGACTTCCCAGACTGAGGTCAATGCGTCGTCAGTCTACAATATTTTGAATAAAAGACCTCTTACTGGCACAGGAATCCCATCCTCTAATAGGGAATGCAATGTGCTATAAAATTTGTTTTGGCCAGTAGCASCCGCGTATAAGCGTCCTTTACGCATATACGAACGTGCGTACTAGTGRCAAGGAAATATTAAAATTTTCTGGCAAGAATTACTGAAAAATTCACATAAAACCGGTCCTTTTATATGTCTTTGATGTCTYTCAAAACGCTGAAAATCGCATTTCCAAGAGTTGATATTTCAAAATTTCCTGGGGAAAGTCCAGACTCCCTTAATACTTTTGACTTTGGCGGTCGTCAGGCCCCCAGATCCAAAATATGTGTCGTGGTCCCTGCCTGTGCGTACTAGGCAGCCAAAACGTGCACGCTACGCGCCTGAGTAGAAATGACTGAAGTGGTCCAATGTGTTTGAAATTTACGAATGTATTGAAGAAACCAAATTTTACTCTATCATCAAAATTTAGGTCCCTAATTCTTTCTTTGCAAAACTAAATATTCTTTCTGAGGAAGTTGTTATATGGTAACCGTAGAGTTTAGCATACACCTTTACGAGCAGTCGATTGCCCCRCCCGGTTGCCATTTTATCCAGGCTATGCGCGGCCATGTATGCCCTGGATCTTCCCCCTTCTTTCAAAAACTCATACATAATTARTGAGTTATTAGGACAATAGAATGAGCCTATTTGGTCACTTGCATAGACCTTCATATCTGATAATTAAACACTCTTTTTTTGACCTTTATCAGATTTTAAGGCCCACGACCCTGTTTGATACCTGATCATTGATCACTGCAGGATGTCGACTGATTGCAGAAAAACAGCCATCAGGACTTCTATTTTACTTTATGCGTATTCAATATGTGAAGGCGAGAGTGTTTCGCGCATGATCATTTTGACCCATTTAACTTATAATTTTACGAATGAGTTATTAGGACAATAGAATGAGCCTATTTGGTCACTTGCATAGACCTTTATATCTGCTGATAATTAAACACTCTTTTTTAGTATTCTTCATATAAAGAATACTAACAAGGTTGACCTTTATCAGATATTAAGGCCCACGACCATTTCTTCTAGAATCATAACGGGTTTGAGCTTTTTGAGTTTTGAAGCCGTTCAAGCTCCTGCTCGTTTATTAAACAGTACTCATACAAAAGRCCATTTTATTCACTGAAGGCATTCTGTCACTAAAACACTGTTTGACTCATAATATTTGTTTYCCCATGCTCCTTTTCGGTCTTAGCTTTACTAATGTAACCGTTTCGACTCTGACTACATTTTTTTCAATTAGGCATAAAATACTGAGATTATTTCATAAATATACTGAAAAGTATATTATTTTCTTGCTCTAGAAGCGATTTGAGAGCGACTCGCCCGTATATATCAAATACAGCATCCCATGTCTTCATATAGCAGGTGTGAGCCCTCCAGCTTTCACAGTGTCAACAGAGAACAGTAACCACTMTTTGACGGCTTTGCACAAGTGAGTAAACATCTTTCAGACCTGGATCTGACTTCTTGTTCCAGCTGAGGGTACAAAAAGTACARCCAGCCAATGGTTGCTTGTGATGGCAGAGAAAAAGTATTCAACGAGGCGTATTTATCCATGAAACATCTCACCAGAGCATAAGGGCATTATATTTAGCTCTTGATACATCGACTAAAATCATGAGGGTGTCCCTGGTATTTCTTTTCAGTGCCATTTTTCAAGGTATGTACAGTGTTTTGGGGGTATGAAATTTGTATTTAGTTTTGGTACAAAATGGCCAAGTTAAAGGTTTTCTCAAGCTTTTCGTGGAGAAGAGAATACTTTTTAGATGTCCCACACAATTCAGTCATGCACAATTGTAAGAAGATATTGATTGCTTTGAGCTTGATAATAGGTGCCTTTAAGAGTATACTGTAACTAGGGTTAGATTATAAAGAACTTTAAAACAAAGCCATATAAAAAACAGAAGAACAAAACAACGCCGGGCCTTTAACGGCCAATTTATGTCGATTGTCAGGTTTATTAGAGTCTTTGTAATAATAATGATAATAATAATAATCTAAGCTTATAAAGCGCTTATAAAACTTTTTCTAAGCGCAAAAAAAGATAAAAATTAAGGTAAAGAAAGTTACAATAGAGTTACAGATCATAGGTTTGTTTAAATAAGAAGGTTTTAAGAGCAGTATTAACATTATCAAGTGAAGAAATGTCTCTGATTGAAGATGGAAGTGAATTCCATAGAAAAGGTCCAGCAACACTAAAAGAACGATAACCATAACTTTTAAGATTGTAAGACTTGGAAGACAGTACCAGTTGAGACGACGAACGAAGGCAACGAGAAGGACGATATTTTTCAAGCATGTCTTGAACATAAATAGGAGTCAGGCACTTTTTTAAGGTTCAACTGATAGGGGCTGAACGGAATCATAGCGACACCTTTCATTACAAAGAAAATGAACCAAAAGCAAAAAGGAATATTTAACTAATAACATACCACATATTCGTGATATAAGTAAAAATTGCAATAAAAAATCAAACAAGGAAAACAAGGAGAATTGAATGTTTTAAATAAAACAAATAATCTAGTAAAAAACCGGGCTGACACTGCAAATGCCGGTCCGAGGAAACGAGAAATGAACAATCCASTACATTCCCGTGTATCAGAACTTATCAGGCTGAAAGTTTTATTTTTAAGCACCCTTCACATAAGAACCATTTTAACAAGTTAATCTGTTGTTCAAATCTTACACTGTATTATATTCCGTGTATAGCAAACATGAAAATGTGTAGCCTGTTACCATTTTATCTCCCCGACTTTTTTGGGGGGACGAGAAACGGATGTACACAGGCTAAAAAATGTGTGAATTACTTTTTATAAAATGCCAYACCCATTTAAAAACCTAGAGAGCCTGGTTTCAATTGAAGCACTATTTACATAAGAACATGTTCAGGCTGACTTGGAAAAATCTAGGTGAAAAAGGAATTATTAAACACAAACGAATCAAGTGTCATTTATTCATGTTCTTGTAAGGTCTCAATGGACAGACCAGCCAATCAACGCTAGATTACATAGCAGGGAATCTTGGGATACGTTATGACGTCTTAGACAACCTTCAAGACACATGGAAGACCTACGTCATCAAGTTGTCGCTTAGCAACAACGGCCCACAGACGATTAGCACCGGCAACTGGGCTTTGTTTTTCTGTCACATACGTGTTGTTGAACCAGAATTCACCAAGCACAATCCAAAGGGATATGTACTTCCTGGCTATGCACTCAGGGTGAGTAAATATCGCTCGTTGAAATCTCGGGATTGAGTCGTTTCTCGTTCGGAAAACTTTCGGCTCAATCAATCTCAATCTTTGTGTGAATAAATATTCCTCGTTGAAATCTCGGAATTGAGTCGTATCTCGTTCGGAAAACTTTCGGCTCAATCAATCTAAATCTTAGGGACACTGGTGAAAAACGCACTGGGCATGTCCACAGCTTTCCCGCTGAAAACTGCCTAATTTCCTTTGTAAAGAGATTTTTGTGAAAGTTTTTCACAATTTATAAGCTCGTTCACCGATATATAAGGTTCATATTTCCATCAATCTTTGTTCATTATATGTTCTTTTAGTATCAGTAGTTTCTATTTTTATCTTCTCATTTCTATTTTGAGAAATGAGGTTTTTCGTAGTGTTTTCTGTGTTGTCGCTGTAAATCGCCAGGCGCTCTGTTTACAGATTTTAAGACGTAAGCGCTGGCTGGAAAGCTGTGGGCATGCACAGTGCGTTTTTTACCAGTGTCAATCTTAGGATGAATAAATATCGCTCGTTGAAATCTCGAAATTGAGTCGTATCTCGTTCGGAAAATTTTCGGCTCAATCAACCAAAATATAGGAAAACATGATACAGGCTGGGAAAAATACAAGAAGGAATTGATCATGACCAATCATCAGAATATTGTCATTTTTACTAATAACAGGTTACGCACATTAATGGATGCCAACATAAACTAGAACCAACTGCCGAATTCAAGCCATTGAGCCCTGGAGAAACCAGAGCAATCAAGATGAAGTCAGAATTCTGGGCGGTTGCTAAGACTGACGTCATGCCAAATTTCTACGTCGCTGCTGATGGACTGAAGGCTCGCACAATCACAAGCACTTCCGGTGAGAGCCTGGATTTCGTGGGTGACTTCACAAAGCCACAACAATGGAAACGAGCCACAGGAGACAAATACGATCCCTACACCCCACAGAAAAGATTCTCAATTAATGATATTAATGACTTAAAGCGACCTGGACTCTTAGTTGTACCGAGTCCATCGGAAGTAAGTGGATATCAGGCAGGACGCCGSGTGAATTTGATGACCGGAGACTGGAGCATTGTGGCCGATAAGAGTCTGGAGCGGGAGAGAAGATATCTTGCAGGTAGGCAGATACCGAAATAGCTGGACCTCAAACTAAAACAGATTTTACAACAATCGGTTTATTTTTCATTTGAATGACTATTATTAGATTTAATTGCCCGAAGAACTATTCGCCCTTTTTTATTTTATGATATTTGACTAGTGGAAACAAACACAAATACAAACTGTTCAGAAACCAGAAGAGTGCGAAGGGATAGACTATACTGGTGACGTGTAACATAACTGCGGCTATTCAATAGGGTACCAATTTGGTCATYAAATTTAMACTGACCAGCTCCCCAAGAGATGGGGTTCCATCCGTAGTCGGATACTAATAACTACTTTGTCTTTATAGACCATCTTGGGATGAATTCGTACAACCACAAGTCTTTCCGTCAAATCCACCTTAAAATAGGCGAAGTACAAATTGCTGGCAAGTCGTCAACGAACAATGAAGCGTACAGCCTGGATGTCAATGTCGACATGGAGAGAATTTCAATTACTGGCAAATCTGCTATTGCTGTTTTCTGGGGGGTGCAGTCGTTGCTTAGTATTGGTTACACAGGATTTGTTCCACAGGTATGCTACGTTTAACAATCCTAAAACACCCCTACACCCAACTATCACATTGAGCATCGCTATATGATCAACGGGTCTTATGTTAATTAAAGGGACATGGTCCACCAGCATTCCTTTTGAGCTTTTGTTTATGTTTGAATATAGAAATACATCGTAATATAAGCAAAAACTTACTCTTTATTGTTCCTTTATCCTATATGAATCGAGATGCTTTAAGATTCGACCGTTAAACCGTTGGATGGAAACGGATTGCAAATGGATATTCGAAGTCACCTCATTTTCTATATATGAAAAATCTAAAACACGACCGCATTGCATGCTAGTGGACCATGTCCCTTTAAAGCAAAAAATTAAATCTCGCAATAAACGCAGGTAGAAATCCGTGATGCGCCTCGCTATGCCTACAGAGGAATGGAAATTGACCTTGGCAGAAATTTTATGCCCAAATCAGAGATTTTGAAAATGATTGACGCAATGGCGATGTACAAGCTGAACAAGCTTCATCTTCATCTGACAGACGACGAGGGATGGAGACTTGAGATACCAGGACTGTCTGAACTCACAACGGTAACATATAGTTTACTTACTGTCCTTCTGGATATGGAAAGGGCTGTACCCACAGGGTGGATGAAATTATCCAGTGGATCAGTAGCCCGTTACTAGGAGCGTCTATCGCTTTATACAGGAGTATCAAGGCRTTCTCATAGACATTCCTATTTTAGATATTTTTTGGTCTCTTCAGAAGTAGGGTCTTCGCTATCGCTTACTTCGGAATCGAATGGCTTAAAGACAATAGGCGATTTGTATTATGGCGTCATTTACTACAACTACCAGAATGTTTTKCCAACTTTCTTTTGTAATGCAGTTAGTGCCAATTGTTTCACTAATCTCTAAGGGGATTAAAAATCTGAATAACAATGAAAATGCGCAAGGCTCTCTGGTAGTTGTAGTAAAGTTACGCCATGCAAATGGCCTATTCTCTTTCACTATCGTCTGCGCGCGATGTTTGTTTATTGAATAATTTTGTTTTCTTGAGGATTTTCCGCGGGTGAATAATACCTGAAGTGACAAAAAAAAATTAAAAACATCTTAAAATAGACACGCCTATAAACCGCTCTGACCACACCCAATGCATATCGTGGGCCCTCCTAGTAATGGACTCTTTGTGGTTCAATTCCTCAAGGCTGGGGACCCTAACGGTATCAAACTGGACTTTGTCTCAAAGTATATTACTGTTATCATTATTGGCCTTCGATGCCATTACCAGTTCAGCAATCATTGTCCCATTCCATTCATTTATTCTATTCTTTCCATTCATTTTACTGATCTACTCATCCTTTTTGTTATGCAACGTTGTGTTATAATTATCTGAATGATTCCATTRTAMATTTCCAGCTGGGTTCTAAGMGATGCCACGACCCAAAGGAAACCGTTTGTATCGACTCACAGCTCGGCTCGGGGCCTGGTACGGGTAACGCAGGGACTGGGTACTACACGGTCAAAGAGTACAAAGAAATCCTGAGATATGCTAATGATCGTCAYGTGATGATTATCCCAGAGTTTGACATGCCTGGTCATGGCCATGCAGCTATCAAAGCAATGCAGGTAACGCAGTTTTCATCATATTCAATACAAATACTTCAGCATAAGAACAGTTTATCAGCCAGAAGGGGACTGCAACATCTAAATTATCAAATATCGATTCTAATAGTTAGGTCTAAAGCAAGCAAAGATCCTAACAGACCAAGCAGTTTAACACGGTCGAAACAGAAAAGTTTACAGAGAGCAAATGCCTTCATTTGACGAAATTCTTAAGAATTTTTATCAATATCAAAATTTCATATGTTATTAGACCCATATATCAAAGCTAACTCCAATCCGATGTTTTTCAATTTCCATCCACAAGTACCCTTTATAAGGGACTGYGCAATARTTATCAGGAGAKRGGGARRTTGAGTATCMAAGAAGGGGTTCGTCTAGACTTATATGACTTGACTTGAAAGAGGGGSSMAMSKYCYARKT